CCTTTCTACAGCTGACATCATGTCCGAGTTGGCGTGCCCGCTTGATGTCGGTCTCACTGTTAGCAACTGGGCTGCTAGAGCCTTTAAGACTGGCTGTTGCTTCGTGCCAGAGCTGAGCCACATCCCCGTCTAACCATCTGTGAAGACGTCTTTTGCGCGTTGGCTTCCTCGTACCTAAGATGCCTGGAACCGCCCCGCGGGGGTGAGCGAAGAACACACTGACTCAGAATGAAAACTTCGATCCAGTTGTCAATAACACCGGGCGCACGTTTCAGTTTCTCGAAAGAATGAGACACATTGGCCCAAAGGTTGCGGCAAGAGACAGGTACGTGCTTCCGAGTGGGAATGGAAAACTTGTGAATGTCGGACAGAAAAGGCAGACTGGGCTGAGAACTGCTGAGTTTCGGTACAAGACCCAACCCGTCGCACCTGGAGTAGTGAACCTTGTGAACTTTGACTTTACCGGTAGAACACAAAGTGACACACTGTAAACAGACAGAACAAGTAGCACCAATATGAACAGCATTGGCATTTGCATCGGAATTAGCACCAACACAAGAGTTATGAAAGTCCAAACCGGAATCTGGGGCAGGTGAGATTGCCATGCGGCTGAAAGTTTGAGTCAAACCACTGTGCTCGTTGCTTGTCGGGTGGTCGTTCCTCGATCAAGCCGGTGGGCTTGGATCCTTTCTTCTTTCTTCCAGAATCCCGATCCGTCATCTCGTACTGTCACATGTCGGATGTTGGACCAGTGTTGTTTGCCAGAGTTCCACTTCACCAGCACTTGGGGGTGGCCAGAGGAGGTTCGAGTGAACGCCATTTGAAGAATTGAGAGGGGCACCCTTCGCCATAGCGGCTCGTCAATGCAACCATGACCGGTATTGTTTGTGGCCCTCGGTGTGGCCTTACTCGTTTCATCCATCTGAAACCTATTTGATAAGTTTATCACAACAATTAGGCTAAAATTTTGCCTCGAAATAGTCATTTTTTTGACCGTTGTGATCCTTTTTGAATTTTCTCAAAAATTAGTCTCTCAAATCTGATATTGTGGATTCCATGGAGATAACAGGTAGTAAAAGCTAGCCTGCATTAGCGGCCTTTCACAAAGTTTTTACACATAAAGTTATCGCCCTCGGAAAAGTCTAATTATTGATTTTTTGACCGTTTTTCAAAAATTTTGAAGATTTTTGAAAACTACCCTGCAATATCTGATATTTAGGGTTAAATTCAAAGAGCAAGTTGAGGGAAGCTCTTTTGGTTATGAGACTACGACCAATTTTTTCTGACACTGAAAAGTATGCCCCTCGGAAAAGTCAAGTTTTTCATTTTGATCGTTTTTGAAAGTTTTTGTCTTTTCTCGAGAACCTCTCTCCCAAATCTGAGATTTTGGGTTGAATCGAAATTGAAGGTTGCGTGAATCCTTTATGCATAAGCGGCTACGCACATTTTTTCACACAAAAAGCTATGGTTTGCGGAAATGTCAAATTTTTGATTTGTTGACCGTTTTTTGGACTTTTTCGCTAACTATTCTGCCAAACCTGATATCATACGTTTAACCAAAACAACCGGTTGTTGAGAGACTACCGTTATAAATTACTATGCCCAGTTTATTTCAGAAACACGTTATGGCCTTCCAACAACTCAAAGTTTTGAAAGTTTGACAGTTTTTGGAAACTTTTGACTTTACGCGAAAGCTACCGTGCAAATTCTCAGATTGTGTTTAATCGAGAAACCCGGTTTTGGGAGTTTTCTCTGCTCAAGTGGCCACAGCTTACTGTTTGCTGAAGAAAATAAGGATTTTGTAAAGTCATTTGACCGTTTTTTAGAAACTTTGAATTTTCTTAAAATTTACAGTCAAATCTGAAAGGAAAAGTTCAAATGAAAGAATCGGTTGCGATAATTGTTTCTGCAGAATCGGCGACTTCTTAATTTTTTGCAAGAGAAACATTATCTCCCTGGGAAAATTGATTTTCATAAAATGTTTCTATTCTTACTTATTTTAGTAGAGAAACAACTAAGATTTTGGGCAAAGTCCAATTGTTGAAATCACATTTTTCGTGCCGCATCAGTATAGCAAATTCGATCAATATCAAGCATGTACCTCCGGCTTTAGCTGGGTTCTTTGCTGCTTTGTATCGAGGCATAAGAAATTTTGGTTCACCTAGTTTTTTCAACAATTTTTTGACGTTTGTTTTTTTATGTTTGTGTTGTATCGCAAGTGGTGCGAAGCTCCGCTTCGCTTGTTTCAAAATTCAAACTTGTACGTCAGTGTTTTTTAGTTTTTTTTTTGTTTTCTACGCAAAATTTGGTACTGTAGATAATTATCGGACTGGGTGAGTGATATATCATATAAAAGCCCTTACAGTTGTGATTCGAACCACATTAAAAAAAATTTTCAGTGTCGAGAAAAATTGATTTTTTTATTTTCGTCTTATTTCGAGCGAATAATGCGAGCAAGCAGTCTTATTTTTCACAAGCAGTGCTTGTGTTATAAGTATACACTATCTTTTTTTCGAACCTAAGTCGCAAATATTGTTGCGATAAAATGTGTTCATTTTGAAAGTGTTCATTTTGATCAATAACCAACTATTAAGTACAGCCAATGCCAAGGATTTTAACATAGTATTATTGTTCCGGCTTTCGTACCGAAAGTAACGGAATATTTAAGCTCGGGTGGCTATTTTCAGACAAATTTCGACTTTTTAACTCGCAATTTTTGACGGGATTCTTTTATATCATTCAAAAGGTATTGGTGTCTTGAGCTTAAATTTGGAAAAATATTTTATCTCTGATCAATTTTCGTAAAGTTATGGGGGTTTGAAAATTGCCATTTTGGCCAATTTGGGACAATTAACGCGCGATGTATTTCGCGCTATTAACGCGGAAGCGGAGATTTAATCCGTCATAGAAATCGTTCCTAATTTGTCAAAGGAAGCTTATTTGCCATAATTGATTTGTTACTAGAAGCGAAATTTATCACTTTCTACTTACTATGGCGTGTGGGGTGATAATTTCATTTTTATTTCATTTTATTTTTCATGTTATTACTGCTCCATAGACTGCTCTATAAATTGAGGCATGTTTTTTTTGGCTTGTGTTTGAGTATTTTCAAGCGGCAATAGTGCAGATGCGAGGACATGAGACTTTTAATTTGTGCTTAGTTTTTTTTAGCTTAAGTGGGTTCGGCTGATGTTATATCAACTTAGTTACCTTAGATTGCGTCGTTCAAAATGAAAGATAGATTGTTATGCTTCTGTGTTTGAAGAGTAACGAGGCTTAAATATTTACTCAAGTGAGCTAGTGAGCAGTGTTAAATAACAAAAAAAAAAGAATTCTAACCCATCCGCATATAAACGTACCAGTGGCAGTTTGATAGCATCTGTTCTGTCGACTTTTCGGTGGCTTGTGTTTGAGTATTTTCAAGCGGCAATAGTGCAGATGCGAGGACATGAGACTTTTAATTTGTGCTTAGTTTTTTTTAGCTTAAGTGGGTTCGGCTGATGTTATATTAACTTAGTTACCTTAGATTGCGTCGTTCAAAATGAAAAATAGGTTGTTATGCTTTTGTGTTTGAAGAGGAACGAGGCTTAAATATTTACTCAAGTGAGCTAGTGAGCAGTGTTAAATAACAAAAAAAAAGATTTCTAACCCACGCGCATATAAACGTACCAGTGGCAGTTTGATAGCATCTGTTCTGTCGACTTTTCGGTGGCTAGTGTTTGAGTATTTTCAAGCGACTATAGTGCAGATGCGAGGACATGAGACTCTTAATCTGTGCTTAGTTTTTTTAAGCTTAAGTGGGTTCGGCTGATGTTATATCAACTTAGTTACCTTAGATTGCGTGGTTCAAACTGAAAAATAGATTTTAATGTTTTTTTTGTTTTAATAGGAACGGGGCGTAAAAATTTTGATTTTCAAAATTTTGTAGCTCAATTTTTACCCTGACAACATGCTGTTTTTAGCTCAAATAGTGTCTACCGAAGTATTTTCGGCTTAGTTGCCCCTGAGTAAGTATTTTTAGATGCTTTTTTACACGGCTGGCAGTATTGTTTTTCCTGACATGTTTTCGTTTCGATTGAACATCAATCGAGACGAATTTGTAAATTTTTTGTAGATCTAGTTTTTCAAAAATATTTTTTTTTGGCCTATGGTTTTCCTCAGTTTCTGTCTGCTGTCTTACAATGCTATGTTGCTTCACAAATGTTTTGGAACTTCGCTTCGCATCTGGGTAATATTGCAGACCAAAGCTGAGTAAAAAAAGCTGGTGAAATAATTTGCTATTTAAAGCTCGGCAAGTTCGCAAATGCAAAATTTGGCGCTTCTTTAAGGTTGTCTACAGTATGTTAGACAAAGGTAACGAATTTTACCTGTTGGCGAAATTCTATAACTATCACTGGCAGTTGTCATGACTCATCCGCTACTCAGTTAGGAAAAGCCTTACTTATTAATATTATTCATCTTGATTTTATGACTAGCTGGTTAATCAAAGTTTGGCTGATCAGTAGTAACTCGAAAGATAAATATTCTACAAATGAAAAAAATCTTTATTTTAATTAAAGCCATTTACACATTTCATCCGTCGCTCATTTCCCTCACACTTTTTATTACATTTTAATAGCACACTTGTTTCGCCCTTCATTCGTTACGGGACTTCGTGTTTGAGTTATAAGGAGCGAAGTGTTTGAGTGGACTGCCTGAATGAAATTGAGTGGAGCAAAATACGTTAGGGGCAGAGCTTGACACAGTCGTCGTCAATTGCGTGAATTGTACAGTGTTTTCATCCATCCGAAGGTGCTTGGGAGTTCAGCAAACAAAGTTCCAATAGTCAAGTCATTCATTATTCAGGTACAGTTTTACTCACTCTAAAGTGACTCGGAATCTTTTATAAAAGTGCTGTTGTAGTGACCCGGAGTAATAAAAGTGGCGTTGTCGGTTTTTTTGCTCGCTGCATGCCGTTTTGAGATCACTGATGAGCATTTTATGGTTTCATTTTTTTAGGTTGAGAATGATTAAAATCAAGGCAAGTTGAAAAATGTCATAATGTCCCAGCAAGACTCAGATGAGAATTTTTACAGTGCGGAGGACGCATACTACGAAGACTCCATCTCATCCATCATATCCGACTCTGAGTTGTCGCAAAATGAAACCAGACAATCATACCAGGAGGTCATAATACCGAACACGATTAACCTTTCCAACAATGTTTATGATGGTACGGCAAACTCTGTAAACACCCTAAATAGCTCTTCACATACGCAACCAGTTGATGATTCCGGTACAGCCTCTGCGCAAATTGGCACATTTTTCGGGCGTCACGAAGAAAGTACAGCCTCAGTCAACGCTCCAGGTACTGCAACTTCTTCTCTGGCGAACAGCACAAGCTATTCATTCCATTCACCCTCAAGCAGTGTTGGTAGTCCAAGTGTTGTGAGAAGTTCGAACAATGAATCAGAAGAAGTTCAGTTCCCTTATGAGATATCCAGAGCATCTCGTCATTCTGAGGCCAGTACAGTTTCTGTTTCACAAGTCGCAGAAGACGAGCAGCAAGAAGTGATGGTAATGGACCAATCAGAAGAAGACGATGAAGATATTCTGGACTACAACGAAGACAACGAGGAGGTGGATTCCAACACTGAAGATGAGGATGAGGGAGAAGAGGCCGAGAATGCGGAAGGGGGTCCAAATGGAGTCGGAATCATGGCTACGAATCTGGCTGAACTGGCTGTGCTCACGGGAACTGGTGCTAACATGTACGTAGAAACACGTCGTAGAGGCATAGGTTTTCAAAATCTGTTCACCTATATTAGACGAGGTGCTTTCAGACATCCTGGCGAGAGGGTGCGACAAATTGATGATGCAAATGTCCCTGGTCTATCTTCAGACCAGATCCAAAGCATGAATTTTGACCTGAGTTTGCCGGATAGGCACCAGTACTTAGGCGATGATATGGAAGTATTAGCTGGGAGAACAGTGCACGAGGAAAAGGATGTTTTGGTCCTCCCTTTCATGCGCCAGGTTGCCCATGTTTTGCTTCCTAAACAGTCGATGCCGATGTACTTCAATCGCCAGACAGACGTGGCGCTTCTGCGTCGTGTGTTGTCGGGTGACAAAACATTTGTTATACTTCCCCTTTTGGATCGAGTATCAGTTCGAAACTTTGTGCACTCTGAAGCTGTCGGAAAAATTGCTGTCATAGCCGAAGTTGTGATGTCTTCCGAAGATGACCTGGATAATTTTAAGGTCATAGCGGAAGGACGGCAGAGGTGTCGCGTGCTTGAATACTTGGGCACTTATCATGGCGATGGTGTGAAGTCTCTAAGGGTGCAGATTCTGCCGGACAACAACCTGCAATATAACTTGTTCCAAGATATTGACAGGCACCTTTCTTTGCAATACCTTACCCTTTCGAACTCTAAACACATACACAGTCCATACTCCATTTCTCCAAAATATCACCCATGGATTATTGAAGCGAATAATGTCTACGCTTTGATGGCTCAAATTAGAAACATTTTGTGCTCGTTATTTAAAAATGAAAGTGGTATGGCGAAGTTGGTTTACGATGATCCGAGTGACTTCTCGTTTCTTGTTGCCAGTTTTCTGCCTCTATCGAACCGAGTGAAGCACAAACTACTTGAAAGCAGCTGTGCCTTGCATCGACTGAAATTAGAACGAGAGTTCCTGAGAAGGTGTGAATTCCTCTATTGTTCCCAATGTGGGGATAAACTGGCCAGTGTGTCGGAAGTGATTGTCATGTCGAATACAGGGGCACTGGCCAGTTATGTCAACCCAGGGGGAGTGATCTACGAGACTTTGACTCTGAATAAGCTTTCGGTCAGGGTCAATTGTGTGGGGAGAGAGAGAGAGAGAGAGAGGAAGGCTTAATTTACCCCGTGGGGAGTTTACAATCACAAATAATGAAATGCAAACATAAAACAAAAAAAAAAACAAAAATATAAATATATAAAATAAACTATGACCGGCAGAAGGTACAGCAGCACTTTCCATACCAAGTACACGGAATGTTTTCTTCGAATGTTTGACGTAGCTTCGTATCATAGAACTTCATAACTTCACGCTTGTACCGGGGGAATGATAGACGGACATCAAGCTTCATGAAATTCAATAGTCTAGGAATACGGTCAAAATAAAAGGACTTTGTCTTCTCGTATTTTCGCTTCTTTAATTTGAAAGAGTATATATCAACACTCCGTAATGATACAGATGGGTCATTTATATCAACAAAATCGAAGGGGTTTAAATCGTACTTGTCCTGAAACAGTTTATGGAAAAACAGAAGATTTGAGATTTCAATATGATATGGCAGAGGATAGATTCCTAACTTTATCAGTGACGTTTTATAATCACCTGACAGACCGATCCATCTCACGCATCTTCTGTTGAAAGCTTCGAGCTTGGATAAGTCGGTCTTGTTAGGTATCCAGATAGAAGAACCATAAGTAAGCACAGATAGAATACATGCTTTGTAGAGCCGAACCTTCGTTTGTCTCGGAGTACTGCTCGGAACATTTCGCTTTAACATAAAGTACACTTTGTTGCACTTGAATAACTTTTCAGAAACATGGTGCGACCACGATAAATCAGAACTGAAAATGATCCCAAGATCTTTGACGTCTAAAGATTCATCGATTTTGTGATCACCAATATAGAGATCTGGGTTTTCAGAGCTGTGGTTAAAAAACTTCAGGACTTTACATTTGTCAGGATGTAAATCGAGAGAATTTTCGCCACACCAATTGATAACAGCATCTAGATCGCGTTGAAGTACGGGAACAGAGGTACTGCAGCATTTCAGATCATCAGCAAAGAGGGATGGCTTGGATAAGAGATAATCAGGAAGATCGTTCACAAATAACAAGAACAATAACGGCCCCAGAATACTACCTTGCGGGACACCACTCATAATGCTCACAAAATCAGAGAGCACACCATTGATTCGCACACGTTGAAAGCGTCCAGAAAGATAACTTTTAAGTAATTGGAGAAAGCTAACATCCAAACCGAAATCCGCAAGTTTTTTGAGCAATTTATGGTGAGGAACCGAGTCAAACGCCTTTTTGATATCCGCATAAAAAACAAAAGACGAAATACCAAGTTCGTGATTCCTATAAAGCTCATCACAGAAGTTTAACAGTTGCGTGACAGTTGAACGCCTTGACATAAAGCCGGATTGGTATTTCGTAATTTTCGGCCTAATGCTAGTGTAAATGTAATCAAATAAGATACGCTCCAGACCGAGGGAAAGTTTCGGTAGCAGGCTGATGGGACGATAATTGGACACATCACTGTGGCTATCCTTCTTGTAAAGAGGAGTTATGTACGCAGTTTTCCAAACATCGGGCCACTTTTTTCGCTTTAAAATGTCTTCATAGAGAGCAGCCACTAGAGGACTCAGTTGAAATGCACAATGTTTTAGGAAAGCCGGCGGGACATCGTCACAGCAGACAGAAGCAGAGTCATTTGCCGACTGAAGAAAATGTAAGACTTTTTCATGACTAACAGACACCTTGCACAACTCAATGGTAGAAGAAGTACTAAGGCTGGTAATCTGAATCTCCCCGGAGGTCTTGAAGACAGACGCAAAAAAGTCATTAAAAAGATTGGCCTTCTCAATAGTAGTGGAAGCAGATCTTTTTGCAAAATGCATTGTGCCTGGGTAGGGAGAAGAATTGCTCAAGCTTTTCAAAATCTTGAAGCAAGAATTGACGTCCATAGTCTCATAGGATTGCAGGAAGCAGACCTTGTCAAGTTCCATTGACACATTTAGACTGTCTACAAGAGTGCTATGATCGTGCATGGGATTGCGCTTTTTCTGGGTGCCAAGTTTATTTAAAAGGTGGACCGTATGTGAAGAATAATAAAACGGCAGATTTTGACGTTTGAGTCTTTTACGGTAGGAAGAAACACGCACACTCTCATTTAGAATTGAGAAAATCACCACGCTGAAGTCATCATACAAATGGGCATACTGCAGAGCATTATAACCAGAATTAAGCATCACGGAGAACGTAGTATAGTCAAAGGAGGATTTGGAGTAGGCTACTGGTCGAATTTCATCGTCTGATTTAGTAGGAAACGTAATGCTGACAGGCTTGTGATCAGAGAAATCGGACTCCAAAACTTCAATATCACCAGGATTAGCACGGTTAAGCAATAGGATATCGAGAATGCTCCCACTGCAATGTGTTGGTTCAAAGATGTGCTGCTCTAGATCATAATCATGAAACAAAGAAAGCAAGTTTGCGTCATAGCTCGAGGAGCTGTAGCAAGAGTACCAGTCAATATTGGGAAGATTCATATCACCCGAGACAAGGAAGTAGCTGTCGTGCAGAGATCCGCGCTTAGCACATTCAGATTTGAATGCAATATGTGCAGTTTCCAAAAACTCACTAATGCTTATAACGGATAATCTGAAATGCGAAGAAGCGGGAGGATTATAGATGACAGCAATGCAAATAAGGAGCGAAGCTGAAACCAATAAAACTGCACAGCCAACAGGGGATTCGCAAACAACCGGTTGAATATGGAACGTAGAAGGAATTGAGCCCTTTATAGCAATAAGGCTACCTCCGTGTTCACCATTTTTACGATCAGAGCGAGCAAGAACAGTGTAATCAGCATACGGGAAAACAAACGATGATTCAACCGTGCTGGTCAACCAGGTTTCAGTCAAGCAAATAATATCACAATTCCATTTGTATAACATATTAACAAACTTCAATCTTCTTTCCAAAGAGAGCATACTTTGGCAATTGAAAAAGACAATCGATAACTTTTTCTCTAGTCAATTTTGCTTTGGCTCAAGTTGTTGCAACTCGTCATCAAGATAAAGCTTCAGGTCACGAATTTTGATCTGCTTGCGATCATAGCCGCCTTCGATTAGTTCACGACGTCGTTTCAGGAGCTGCCTTTCAAGTTCCTGGCCAGCTTTGGTTAGGGACTTGGAAATATAGACAGCATCACAATACTCTTTCAGATTGTAACTCTTGCTTAGAATCTTCCTTGTAGACCAAACAGAATTGAATTTGATTATAACAGGTCTCGGCTTATTTGGATCCGTATTGGGTTTTCCCACGCGGAAGACCTCCTGAATCCCCGTAGAAGAATTTGCCTCGAGATATTCAAGTATATCAGTCACTGATTTCCCATCATCCTCAAAGCGCTTGTTAGCAGAATTGGCAGAGCTTTCAGGTATGCCTTGAATCCTGATCTCGTCCAACTTCTCAAGTAGCTCCGGTGACGAAACAGATGAAACTTTGATTCGGGGTAATTGGGGATCGGTCTTTTCAAGCTTCTCAACAACAACATCAAGTTTCTTTTCAATAACATCAAGACCTCAAACGGAAAACAGGTACGTCGGGTCTAGATTATGTCTTATGAGCAGTGAGGTTTCGTCTGAGTTCATTCTAATTATCATTATGTGACTTTAATAAGGTTCTGCATAAGCTCAAACTGCACGTTTAAAATTTAAAAATTTAGACGTAAGAAGTTAAACCGACAACCAAAAATTTGTATAATCGAAGACTATTTTAAAACTACGTTAGTTATGAGAATTAACCGGTTGTTTGGAATGTTTTATTTTAACGCGCACAACCCTATTTGAAATAGATTTGGTTGAAAGTATTTGAGGGAGGAAACCTAAGGAAAGTTGAAAGAATAAACTCCAAACAATGTTAACCTTAAGGTTAAAACTATTTATCTATCTATATCTCTATCTATCTATCTATCTATCTATCTATCTATCTATCTATCTATCTATCTATCTATCTATCTATCTATCTATCTATATCTATCTATACAATATTTAAATGCATGTGACAGCTATCTCCCATGTTTAAGCGTAATATTTTTGCATTAGTTTTCCGCAAGGTCATTAATTTTTTAGTATTTTTTGAGGCCAAATTAAGTCTGTCTGACTGTATACCTGTTTTTTTATTCAATTGTTTGTTCCTCTCTACCCGTCTCCTAATTTTTCGACTTTGAATTTGGTTTCGACGATTCAGTTCAAAATAGTACTACTGTTCTATTTTTGCACGTTTAAGCTATATCGTACATTGCAATGGTTAAGATTTTTTTTTCGATTTTTTAGATGTCCAAGATTATTTCATCAGTTTTGAATTTAGCAAAATTTGATATTCTCAACCCTGTAGTTGGGTGCTGCCAGAGTACTCTCAGGTATTGCGAATCTTGCCTCCAAATCTCACTACTCAAATCCTTATAGTTTTTGCGATTTGACGCGTTTTTTAGGATTTTTTCAAAGTTTTTCAAAAAACTTAGATATAGAAAATTTCACAAAATTTGAGGATTCTATCTCTTTAGTGAGGCTTTGTCAGATTACTCCCAGGAGTTTCGAAATTTGCCTCCAAATATGACTGCTCAAATCCTTGTAGTTTTCGAGATATGACGTTTTTTGTGATTTTTTTAAAAAATTTAAAAAAACAATTTTTTTTCTTCAATTTTTAAAACTCCTAACCCAGTAGTTGTGGAGTATCGACGTGCTCTCAGGGGTTGCAAACTTTGCCTACAAATGTGGTTTTTTTATTTTTTGTCAAAATTTTTACAGAAAAATTAAATTAAATGTAAATTAAAAAATTTGAAATTCCTAACCCTGTAGTTGGGGGCTGTCAGAGTATTCTCAGAGGTTGCGAATCTTGCTTCCAAATATGATGGCTCCAATTTTTGTCTTTTTGAGATATGACGTTTTATATGATTTTTTAAAATATTTTTTTTTGGAAAATTTAAGTCTGAAATTTCTCAAAATTTGAAATTCCCAACTCTGAAGTCGGGTACTGTGAGAAAACTCAGAAGTTACAAATGTTTCAATGCGACTGCTCCTTTGCTTTTAGTTTCCTTTGCTTTTAGTT